GATTAGTAACTGTATACTGAGGTGGTACAGAAGGTGTGGTGGGAGCTGTCAGAGACCACACGCCCTGAGCTGAGGTCGAAGGACTTAAAGGAAGGTCAAACTCAGGGGCCGCCAACTTGGAAGTTTTCCTGAGAGTGCCCATAACCTTGGTTGTGGGCTTGCCTGCTCCCTCCGAATTGGAGGTGGTCTGTCGGACATAACGAGAGGATGGAGGAACTGTGCACATGGGTTGAGGCCCAGTGGAGTCCTCCATCCTAGGTTGAGCTGTCTCAGGGAAACTGAAGTGAAGCTCTGGCAGGCAAGCAGTTGGCGGAAGCGAAATTGGAGCAAGTAACAAGGACTGCTCCCCTGACCACCTGACCAAAAAGGCTTGGGCTTGGTCACAGCAGTGGCAGCTAATGCCAAAGGCACGGTTGGGGACCCGCTCTGGGCTCTGCCCAGAGGCCTTAAGTGGCCAGTCAAAGTGCACCAATGAAGGGTGCAGAGGGCCTGAATAGAGGCCAGGCAAGGAAAGATGAGGATCAATAGAAGCTTGATTAATTTAATGTATAATATTACGAAACAAAACGTCCCTCAAAAATCACTCAGGCCTTTGTGACTATAAGGCTCTGCCCTGATGAGGTCTAAATTTTATTTTATTTTATTCTATTTATTTATTTGTTCATTTATTGTTATTTGTGGCACTCAAAATGGTGGCCATCAGAATTCAGGTGGAAATTAGGGACTCTAGAGCTGTGTGATCTGACCAGGGACCAAAGATCCAGGAGGCAGAAACAATTAAATCACAGGAGGAAGATTAAACAGCCTAGGTGCCAGGAAATTTTTTTACTCTTCGTTGTTTTAGCGGTAACAAAATGGTGGCCGCCACTTGTTCTGCCGCTGAAAACAAATACTGTGACCACAGGGGGGAAGTTTCCCCAACGTTGGGAAGGTCCTGGCAGAAGCTAGTGCACTGGCTGTGGGAAATTGCTCCAATTTGTCTCCGATTGTGAGAAAGGAAAAAACAGAGCCTTGGGAGTCGTTTTAAATTTCGCTGCCTCAAACGGCACCCAAAATGGTACCCGCAATGTCCCAAATGGCTCCAGAGGTCTGGGAAGTAAAATAGAATCAATCTGAGGTGGGAACGCTGTTCCCTGGGTCCTAAGAGGGGAGGTGACAATCTCACCTAAGGCAATTTGTGAGCTGCTCATAAAAAAACAATAAATTCCTTTCCCCCAGAGCCCTGGGAAAAACGGAAGGAATCAAAGGCAATTGTCTTCCCCCCCCCATACACACACACCCTGCAGTTCAAAAGCCTCCGATTTAAGGCAGCACTGAGCCCAACGCCGCAGGGAACTGTAGGAAATGATTCCTAGATTGTGAGGATTATTAAATTATATTGAGGGATATTACTATTAAAGGGAGAATTCACCAATGGTTTACTACCTGCTAATCTGCTGAGAGAGCCAACCCTGACGCGTCTTCAAGAGCTTGAGACCAATTCAAGACTGGATCTCCTAGCAAGAGGGGGCATGTCAAGTTTGGCTACTTGGTCTCAAGAGCAGGCAGGCAGAGAAAACCCATTGGTGGATTCTCCATCTCCTGTACTGGAGAACAGTCTAGTTTTAAATACTGGGAAAACCAAAGAGATCAATGTCGATTTCAGAAAAGGCAGGCATAGCCACACTTCTCTGTGCATTAATGATTCACCTGTGGAGATGGTTACCAGCATCAAATTCCTGGCTGTGCAGTTAACAAGTAGGCTGGCTGGTCGCTCAACAGTGAGACACTGGTGAAGCGGGCACAGCAGCGCATTTTCTGCATCGCATGAGAAAAGCACATCTTCCTTCTGCTATCCTCGCCACTTTCTACAGGGGGATGATTGAGAGCATCCTGTCATACAGCATCTGGTTTGGAAGCATCACTGCTTCAGACAGAAAGGCGCTGCAGAGAGTGGTGAGGATGGCCAAAAAGATCACTGGCAGTTCCCTCCCTCCCATTCAGGACATAGCGCGGAAGCGTTGCTTGAGCAGGGTCTATAAGATTATCTGGGACACTACACATCCTCATCACCACCTGTTTTCCTTGTTACATTCTGGGAGGAGGCTTCGTGGTATCCGAAGCAGAACATCCAGATTCAGCCATAGTTTCATTCCATACAGCATTAACCTGTGAACTCTCAAGCTTCCTCCTTCTGTTATATATTCAAGATGGACAGTGTTTAATATTTATTTCTTATGTATATGTAGGGGTGTGACTCTATACATATGTTGTATATAGTATGTTTAGATATGTGTCGTGTATGTGTTCACTTTGAGAGTGGGCAACTAAATTTCATTTTTGATGTGTGCCATTGTGCCCACAGTAAAAAATGTCAATAAAGGTTATCTTATCTTATCTCATCTCGTATTTTATCTTTTATCTTATCTTTCTGGATATATCATCACAATTACTTCATGATTTTTTTTGAAGCTTCAATTATCTGCTTTATAAAATTATCATGTACCTCTAATGACTGATTTGGTGGTATGTATCAGACCCTTAGGAACATAGCACTTCTGTTAGTTTGCCATTTCAACTTGCCATTTCAAATAACACTTGTTATTTGAATCTCTGTATGGATCTCTGTATAGGTAAGCTCATTTCTTGTTTATATGTGTTGCTTGTTCTTCTGAAATAAAGTTTACCTATCAAATCCAATGCTCTACTGGTGGAATTCATGTTACTATGTTTATAGAATCCTTTTTGTATTACACTTGCCTTTATGCCTCATGACTTCTAGCTCATCTTGCTTGTTTAAGCCATATTTTATGTATTAGTGTGGAAACATTCAATATAGTATAATTGATTGGACTCAATCTCTTTTCTTTATATCTGTCTCATATTTATTTTTTGCCAAACTAATTTTTATAAGATTTTACTTTGTTTCTACATTCAGTGTATTGTATGCCAATTCATTACTCCCTAGTTATTTTACAAATCCCTATCAATATGAAATCACCCATCTCTCTTTATAACAGTCTTCTGATGCCAGAGATGAGTCCATAGATAATTAGTTGAGTTTTCCAAGCACGTATCTCAGATTGTATAGCAGTTGTTTGCAGAAAAAGAAGAATTTTGCTTTATTTCACTAAAAGATAGGTTTCAGAGTTTGGTGGAAAAACTCACCTCTAAAGAAAAAAAACGATTAAAATGTTCCAGTTTCTTTATTAAACTAACAAAGAAATAGAGTAATCACTGCATTCCCAACAAGCAAAACCAAGACCCAATTTCGATGCAATGCAGATCTTATATTGTTTTACCACATTATGTCATATAGCATACTAAGAACAAGTTATTTGATTAATTGTTTTATAATCATCAGGATAAGGAAATCAAAGGAGTCATCTGGCACTTGATTGCCCAGAGCAAAAAGGCGACAACACATTGGCATCAATTCATCAAAGGAACAGATACCAAGTAAATTACATATACAATATGTATTAACTTATCAAAGATATGGAATGCCCCATCAATTATTCCTTTGTGTTGTAACAATGTGGCTCTCTTGTGCTATAAAATGGAAAAGCCTGAATGGTTTTATTATCTATTCTTGAGTAAATCAATACAATGGAAGACAGCTAACCTACATATCAAAACTTCTCATGACCACTGAGAAGATGCTAAAATGTGAGTCTTGCTGGTATCAGGAAGATTTGCTACTTTCACGGCAATCTAACTATTCTTATATATGAAGTTTATGTATGAAGCATGCCACAGAGTACCGTAATCAGTTTATTTGGATTGCCAAACATCACAGCTTTTCTTTTTTCTACACAACTTAACAAGTGTAGGGTATACCTTCTAAATAGTCCTCAAATAAAATTTATTTCAGGCAAAACATATCTAGGAAATCCTAGCCTTTGCATTAATACAACTGTTCAGATTTCATTGTCCCCAATCTGTATAATTTTCTTGTTCGAAGATAAAAATCTTTGTGACATCTATGCTTAACCATTCATGAAATGCCCCTGATCCACCAGTAGCCACAAGAGAAAGATACAGTGAAGTCCCTTGAACTTTCCCACCTGCATTGACACTTGGACTGCAACTGATTAATTGGCCTTTTTGGAAAAACAGTGTGCACCTCAAGATAAGGGAAATCTTTATTACAATACTGCACCCCTCAAAATTTCACACCTAGGAACATATCTACACATCTAAGATTGCATACCCTATAGAACAGTGGTTCTCAACCTTTCTAATGCCGTGACCCCATAATACAGTTCCCCATGTTGTGGTGACCCCCAACCACTTATACAACACCGGGTGCCAGGGGCGTGGCCAAAGAAAAGGGGGAAAAATGGTGGACAGCCTTGTTTGGTGACCCCCGTGAAATGGTCGTTCAACCCCAAATGGGGTCCCGACCCACAGGTTGAGAACCACTGCTATAGAACAAGAAACAACATATCCTGGGGTAGGAACATCTCTACCCATCTAATATACTTAATACCAAAATACATACTCCATGATCAAAGCCCATTAGTACTGAAATACTACCATGCTCAGCATTCTAACTTCATACCCTACTTTCAATTGCTATGCTCCATGAAATGTAGTCAAATAAAACTAACCTAATTTTCAAGCCGCTGCCCAGCATGTTTTTTGTGACCTGGCTGAATTTCAAACCCAGGATTTTCTTCCAATACTCTCATGACATGATAATATATACTGGGGATCAGCAGGACTTATGTGATTATAGCAAACTTCTGGCAATATAACATTCCATGTGGCTGGGAAATTGTGGGGGTTGATTCACACATCTTAAAGTTGTTAAAGTTGAGAAACACTGTGTTATGGAAACTTACATGTGAAACATTATTACACATAGAATCTATTATTATATTATCATGGCAGATATCTTGATACTATCTTTGAAAGGGACAGCGTTATGAAATAAAAAGTAGTAGATGTGATCAATTTTTAATCTTATATCCTCAACAAGGGTTAGCTAAAACCTTAGAAAACTTCAGCAAACTTACCTATTTTACTGAATGCTTCTTTTAGTTCTTCCAGTTCCTCTCGAGAAATTGTTGTTATGTTATTTTCCATCTTGATTGCTAGGTTTTTATGTCTGAAAATAATCAACTAGACATATTTACAAAGTACAATAAGGAAAGACATATTATTCAATTAACTTGAAATATTTTTTTGTGATCCATTAGAATTTATACTATTCTGAACATTAGGTATATGTTTCTTTTTTCTAAGTATAAGTTCCACATTATGCAAAAGTTACAGATTTTGGATTTATTTCTCACTAGACAAAAAGAGTTATATCAATAACAATTGGGCTTATTAATTTATGCGGACATAAGACAAAATTCTGCTTCCACCTGCATCAAAATGGAAGTGTTCAGTGGTATCAATGAAGCTTCATAATGACTAGAAATTATAGGATTGCAACCCAACATTTGTAGGCTTGATACCCAATGCTGAAAGACTAAAGGGAGTAATTTGATGTACTGTATTTTGTGCATCCCAACAATACTGAGTAACTGAGAATATTATTCAAAATTTTGAAGAGAAAAAAATGAAATGAATAAAATAAAGATGATCAACAAGCCTAAGGAACAATAGAGAACAAACAAATGTTTAATATTATGTTGCTGCTTGAATTTTTATTTGTGAGATTTTTTTTTTAAATTTGTATTGCTTATCTCTTGCTGTTATATACTAAGTATGCACTTGCATGAACTTTTAGTAAGAGTTTTTAAAGCTGTTTACATATAAGCTGCTATTAAAATCATGAATTACAAGCAGGATGTATATTTTTATACATATTACAAATGCTAAATAATGTGAACAACTCATGTCTTGATCTCTATATAGTTAGATTACTGCAACACATTCCATATGGGGCTGCCCTGGAGATAACCTGATCACTATCAGGTTATATATATCAAGCCAAAACCCTGGCCCAAACTCTTTATGGAATTCCCATATGGATACGAGGCTTCAAGGACTGTATTGAAAGTACCCAGGCTGTTTTTCTTAGGAAACTTCTGGGTCTTCCTCCCTTTGTTGGATTTGCTTCGATGTACCTGGAACTGGGCATTCGTTCAGTCGAATGCATGGCGTGGATTAACACCTTCAAATGGTGGTTTCGGGTGCACATTTCGGCAGCCCCTGGTAGCTACCTCTCCCTGGTGTTTGCTGACTCTCATACTTCTCGTTGGGAGAGGGAGCTGACGAAGAAACTCCACTTGCTAGATTTTATAGGGGATGCTCTGGGAGATTATGGTCTCAAGGACGCCCAGTTTAGGGTAGTCCAACGGCTTGTGGATATAGACTTGCAATACTTAAGAGCCAGATCCAACAAAACCTGCTCCCCTTTGATCTTTAGCTATTCTAATAATTATGGACTGAGGATGGCCTTTTATTTCTATACTCTAACCATCCTCAAGTATAGAAGAGTCTTTTCCCTAGCCCATTTCAATGTCTTGCCCTCAGCACTACTCGATGGGCGATTCAAGTTGCTCCCGTTTAGTGAGCGATTATGCCCCTGTGATAGGGCTGAAGTTGAAACTGTGGAGCATGTCTTATTATACTGCCCCATATATAACACAGCCAGAATTAAATTATTGTCTCTCCTTGTCTCACCCCCCTGACAGAGATGTCGGGGGTGTCAACAGAAGGGACTTCTAAAAGGGAAGCAAACGAAGAAGAAACATTGAACAGTTTCTTCTCTGAACTGTTGGGAGAAGGAGGAGTGGCCAGGGAAGACCACTGTTTTTCCACTGTGGTGCGGAAAACCTGTGGACAAGAAATCTGCTTGTCTTCCACCAACTGTTCTGCGAACAGAGGATTAGCCTCCTGACTGATGGAGATAGAAGGTTTCTTCTCCTGTACCGAGGTGAGGTTAACTGTAGTAATGGCCTTTAACAGTAAAGACCGGAAGAGAGAATGATCAAAGAGTCCCGAAGTTGGCGCCTGCTCAGGTGCTGCCTCCTCATCCTCTGACATGGGCATGTGAACTATCTCCAGGTCAACAGACTCCTCCTCTCCCAATTGGGAAGAGGTCTCTGAAACACCCGAAGCGGGAACTGTGGTACGCCCTGTCTGAGATAGGGCGACAGATGGAGGTGGTTGAAAAGGTTGTTGTCCCCTGGAAGACATGAATTGTGTGAATGCATTTTAATGAAAGACTGGAACTGAGCTGACCATATGTCACTCTGCTCCATGTAACAGGCACCAGCCTCAGCTGGTATGTACATGCCCTCAGGTCCTTAGTGAGCCAAAGATGATGAGGAGCGTTGGGGCCCAACCTGCTCAGTTTCCCCTGAGGAGACCAAGCCCTTGTTTCATCATGATAAGGAACAACAGGAGGTTCAGATGTAGCGGGGGAAACCATTTCCACTTCACTGGACCTGAGCCTTTGGGCTTTGGAGAATTCCCTTTCCAGTGCCAAATGTCTCCTCGAAGCCTCTCGCTCAGATGATTTAGAGGGTTCCTTGGGAGAAATATGTTTAGTTTTGGCCTTCTTTTTTCCCCGATTCCAACTCAGTAGTTCTGCGCTTTGATTGAGAGGGGGGAATCCCTGAACCTTGTGATGCCTGAGGTGAGGAACTGTTCGCCATTGCAATCCAGATATACCGAGTAGGAAATATCCAGATGGTGGGGAGAGACCAAGACACAGATCTGGTTGACAGAGATGGAAAACCGATCCTCGCTCTGCACAATAGCAATGGCAAGGAGCACTCAGATAGTTCCCTATAACCGTCTATCTAGGCCAGTGACAAATGCCACACATTAAAATCAACAGGTGGATTAACTATGCCCCTTCGCTCAACTCACCCCAATGGCCAATTGGAAATTCAGTAGATCTGCGCTTTGTGCAGAATCACAGTAGGAATGTATCATCCAAATGATCCACAATAAGTATCTGAGATCAGTTGTATAACTTCCCCCCAAGTGAGGACTGACAAGTCAGGCCTGAAATCAAGGATCAGGCCTCTATGCCTGGAAAGGCACACCGAGGCAATCCAAAATGGCTTCCTAGTGCAAAAAAAGTCCCACTCAAGATGGCGACCATTCAGGCCACACCCAAAATGGCAGCCGTTGTTTCTGCTGGCTTCAAAATGGCGGCCGCCTGCCTCCCATGCGGTTAAGATGGCGACCGCACCTCCCTTATAGTCTCCCGAGGAGGACAATTACTTAAGGAAAGGAATTGAGGGAAAAATAATCCCCAGCCAGAAACCGATCCCAAGGCAGAATTAAAGCAATAATTCCCCGAAAACTTGCGGTTAAGCGAATGCTTTCTGCCGCTGCGATCTCGGGATCCAAGTAGAAACCTCGTGTATCCGAAGCCGAAGGGAAGCCTGAATCGTTTGAGACCCTAGGGATTCCGATTGCCGAAAAAGCAGCCGAACCACTGGCCTGCGGCTTCGCTCTTCACTGCCTGAGAGCTGAGACCTCAGCCGGAAAAAAGGGATTTGCAGCTCTCCACAGAGAAGCCTGTGGCTAGAAGCCAGAAGGCTCCAAATAAATTTTATCTTGAAACTAGCCAAATCACGAAATTTAGATCCAATTTCAAATGACTACCAATTGAAAAGCCAATTACAATTTAAAGAAATAAATAACAATTAGAAAGAATGCCAAAAAAAATTAAATTAACCTAGCCTGACTAAGAGAGACAAATTTTTTGCGCCCTATCGAGCTCAAGACTAAGTCAAAACTGGGAAGACACACGCTGAGGGAGGCGTAGCCAAAGTTTTGACCTAGTCTATTTGAGCAGGAAGGCTGAAATAACCCATCCAGTGGATTCTACACTCATCATGCTGGAGAAGTATTGATGCACCCTTTTAGGAGTGATATGATTGTTGATTTTTATTGTGAGCCATTTAGGTTTACTATATGTAAGACAGGTAGTCATATACATTCTATAAATAAATTAATCAGCAGCAATGGTTATTTTCTTAATTGTTCCACATACTGAATTTTGGCATATACTGAACAAATGGGCCTATCAAATGGTATGGTACCATTTTAGCTGGTAGATACTCTATGATCTTTTGTTAGCAATACCTCTGCCCTTGGAGTGGGGAAAAAAAGTAATAATGATCTATTTTTCCTTCTTACAAGGGTAGAAGAAGAATATATGTTAGGAATATATTTGAGGGGTTATGATTTCTTGAGGAAATTTCTATAAAATGAAGGCAAACTATAAAAGGCAATTACTGAATTCCTTGGATCTCTAGCTACTAAGAAAGAGATATCACTTTAGATTTTAAGTTATTTTATTAATACCCAAATTATAATAAAAGTGATGAGTAGTAATGAGTCGATACAAAATTGAGAACCATATAAAATAGGATATCATGTTATATAATAAATATAAATTGCCAGATGTATTGTCTGTAAGGAATGCCAATTGTTTCCATTCTTTCTTCATATGCATAAATACATATGTATATAAAAATAAGATTTTTGTCACCTCTATTTCAGACCAAAAACCAAGAAATCTGACTTGGATATTTTGTTTTTGCAGAATGTACTTTAATAATACTTTATAATTTATCATCAAGATAATTTTATTTATTTCTTCACTTATTTAATCTGAACAAACTGTATTATGTTATAATTATCAAAATGTCACAATCCAATAAAGATTTGATAAATAAAACAATAAATTGGACGTGTGCAATTACATTTGTTCCTTATTCTTTGGTCTTATGATTTCTGGTCATAAACTGCATGTTAAGCGTGCTATAAATAGGTTTAGAGGAAAGGGAATGTTAGCATATCCAATGAGCCAAGGATAGAAATTACATCAAATAGCAAATAACAATAATAAAAATAAAAATATTAAACACATTATAACATATAATTTTCAATTTAACTATTTAGCTGTCATACTTATTTTCATAGTTATATTGCTTGCTGTACATGAACATCTTTTGATACAACTAACAGTGACTTGAAAGTATTGCATAGTACTGTAAGACCATGCAGTAATCCCACAAGGTTTAATGTATATAAAAGAGTTGCAAATGTTAGCATTCCATTACTAATAATATCTCCCACTTGTATATATATATTTCTGTTCTTTGCTATTTTAAATTCTCACAATTT